CAGATTTTGCTGCAGCTCTGCTTCCAGCCCTGTGCTGCCACACCAACTTTTCCCAGCACTCAGGAGGAGGTGGGGCATTCAGCCACAGCTGCCCTGGGCAGTGGCGCAGGGCTGGGAGCGGAGCTGCGCTGAAATTTGGGGTGGGTGCAGCCTCCTCCCAGTGCCACCAGAGCCCACTCCAAGCCCAGCCCCTGGCAAGAAGATCCACACAGCGCCTGCTCTGGCTATACCCCACAGCTGCAGCCCTCCCTGTGCTGTGCAGATCTGGGGGCATTTGCCCCCCCCCAGGGTGCAAGCAGTGGCAGGAGCTGCTCCCACCCCCCAAGTCATGCCTCTGTCCTGCGTGCCCCCCCGCCCTTGCTGGGCAGTGCCTGCCCCTGCTCCCTCTCTCACCATGGGGGGCGTTGCCCCCCCCTTGCCCCTTCCCTGCCCCTCCCCTTCTGACTTACCATCTGGAGGCTGCTCTCCATGGTGCTGGCTCTGCTCTGTGCTGTGCTGCAGCTGCACGCAGCATAGGCATTTATCATCCAATTTATCAGCCCCATCGGGCCGACATCTGATATAGACAATTTTCTTCATATCGGTACCAATCCAATATTGGACCAATGTATCAGTACGCCTCTAATAAAATATGAAGTATGAAGGTAATTACAATAAGTGATAAAAATATTATGCCTTTCACTAGTCAGTGGATATGGTCAGGATTGAGTTCACAGATTTGAGTTTTCCAAATAACATTTTTTAAGGGTTTTACATTTTGGAATTGTGACTATTGCTTGGACAGCATATTGATGGTAGACTTATTTATTTTGAATAGAAGACTGATAAACTCTTCTAATCTCCCTTTTTAAAATAGGAATTTGCTTTCTTGATTAGACCTTTTCAATATCTGTTCCACTTTGAATTCATCTGTCTTGAATATGAGTGATCAGAACTGCATATGGTATTCCACACAAGGTCTTGTCAGTTAACTAAGGAACTGGAAAAAATCCATTAAGCCTATTTAGGGATTTATCTTTTTAAATATTCACCTACTAACTTTACATTTCTACATAAGCACAATAAAACTTATTCATAACTATATCCACATCTCACTTGCTAATTATTTAACTTGCAAAAAATCAGAAAGGTCTTGGACTCTTGGACAGCCCATAAATTTAGGATGCTCAAGTAGAACATCTACTTTGCAGTCAACAGGAGTACTTTTATTACAACAAATATATATTTATGCACACACTATCTGCATTATTGGGACAGGCTCATGGAACTTTTCCTCAGGTCTCTGGAAGAGAAGCAGACAACAGAGCTAAACAGCAGATGGGACAAAGGCTTGTGTAAAATGAAATATGTAAATAAAAGCAGGAAATATGATTAATTATCAGACAATGGCCAGGAGAGATGTAGTAGACATCTGATAAGTGGAGGAGCAAGACCATTCAGGATGGTTATCACCTGTGAAATACAGAGGTTAGCAAATATCATGTAGATTGTAATGGGTTGTGAAGTCATTGTCTATATTAAGTCCCTGGTTCTTAGGGCCTGATAGGCTACTGGATTTTTGTTCCTAGGCTCATTTTTTTTATGGTGTTTTACAAATTTACCTTGAGCATGAGAGCTTTGAGGTCAGGGAAAATGTGGTTTTTCTGTGAAAAATGTTCTTCTACCTGTGTTCTACTGTTTCTGTCCTTTATCTTTTTTCAGTGATCATTGATTCTAGTATGTAATTTTTGTCTGGTTTCACCTACCTGGTTTCTGTGAAAGTATTTGGTACCCTGGATGAAGTATAGCACATTCTGGAACAGACATGTATATAATCCATGGATTCTAGTGATTTTATTCTGGGGATTATTGATTGTTGTGGCAGTAGAGATGAGTTGACAGGTTTTGCGTTTATTGTTAAGGCAGGGCTGGGTCCCAATAGGTGTCTGTTGATCAGCGGGGAGTTTGCTTCTGATGATGAGTTGGGCAAAGTTACAGGGCTGTAAGGATTGGAATATTTCTCTCAAGGCCTGGTCTTTTTCAAGAAAAAGCTATAATTGTTTGGATCCTTCTTATTCGTTCATGGTAGGTGACAACCAAAGGTGTGCAGTCAGTAGGGGTTTTTATTCTTGTATTCTAGAAGGTTGTTGTGGGGTATTTGGGTAGCTCTTTCCAGTAGAGAAGTAGACTGTATCTTTGAGTGTCCTTATTGGGTAAAGGCAGTCTTCAGTTTGGTGAGATGCATATTGCAAGTATTCTCAGAGAAGATGTGGTAGTATCCGAGGGCCTAACTGTAGATCATTGCTTTTTGGTGTGTTTGGAATAATGGTTTTATGGTCATAAGTGTGGTGGTCAGTGGGTTTTTTGTATATAGTGGCTCATGGGGCGCCATTAAAGATTCTGTATTTAGGAAGTTGATGTTAGTGTAGGAGTATTCTAGAGGAAATTTGATCAAAAGATGGCTGCTGTTAGACACGTGGTAGAAGTCAATAAGCAAGTCCACGTGTTCACTCAAGATTATGAGAATGTCATCTGTGTAACACAGTGATAGTACAGGGTTGGTGGTGCAGTTTTCTAGAAACTCCTCTTCCTGGTTGTTTTTGAAGAGGTTGGCTCCCCAACATGCCATCCTTGTGCCCATAGCTCTGTCCATGGTTTGGAAGAAATGTTGGTTGTTGAAAGTGAAGTTGTTGTGGGTGAGGATTAACTGGATGATTTCTACAATAAATTGTATTTGTAAATCTGAGTGTAATCCATTTTCTTGTAGGTATTTCAAGCAAGCAGTTGTGTCTTCATGTTGTGGAATATTAGTATACACACTGGTGACATCCTAGTTGCAAGTATGGCCTACTCAGGGAGGTGGTTGATGTTCTAGAATCTAGATCGTATTGAAGAAGCCTATTGTGTCTTGTAGAAAACTCGTTCTTTGAGTTACAAATTATTTCAGGATGGTTTCTATGAATCTTGATAGCTCTTCAGTGGGAGTACCACAGTTGGATATGATGGCTGTGTCAGGGTTACTTTTCCTGTGAATCTTTGAGAGCATAGAAAATATTCTTGGGATAAAATGGGGGATTAGTGGTGGTAGCTTTTCCTGAAGTTGGTAAGGAAAAGATTTGATCATATTTTCCAGTTCCAAAGCAAACAGTGGTGTGGGGTCCTCCCCAAATTTTTTATAGTAGTTAGTGTCTGAGAGTTGTCCCATTATAGATGTAATTTTGGTAGTTGAGGATGACAGTTGCTCCTCCTTTGTCTACTTGTATGATTACTGTTTTATTGTTGGATCTTAGGGAACATATGCATTTTCTCTTTGAGGGTAAAACGTTGTGGTTGTCCTGGGTTTTATTAAGTATTTCATTGTTAACTTTCCTTTTGAAAAAGTCAGTATAGTAGTTCAAAGTGTGGTTTTGGCTACTGGGAGGTGTCTGGTCAGATTTTTCATGTTGTTTATTTCATCTATGTGGTAGGAAGGTTGTTAGAGGTAGTTCTGTACTGGATGTAGAAGTATTCTTTCAGGTGAAGTCTATGGACAGATTCTTCTAATTCTTCACATATTAGGCTGCTTTTCTGGGCAGAAGTTCAGGCCTTCAGGGTAAAATTGGTGAAGGATTAAATTGCAGCCGTCAGGCTTCCACCCTGCCACCACTCCTCACATTGCTCCTCTTCTCTCTGGCTTCCCCTGCCCCAGGGGTCGGGGCAGTGCAGCATGGCACAGCCTGCAGTTTGGGCGGAGCCTGCAGCCAAGAGTGCCTGTATGGCACAGTGCAGCTAGGAGGCACAGAGACCAGCAGTGGGAATTTTTATTTAAATCACATGATTCGATTTTAATAAATTTTAATAAAATTTCCAAGTCTGGCAGTAAATGAACACATGCCATCTTTTCTCAAAATCTTTACATCCTTGATTTTGCTATGCAAAATGTCTGAATGCCACAGCAGGCATTGTCTAATTTTTCATATCTCCTCTTCACTCTGTCTTGCTGGATGCCATTTTCCCCTCTACTATGTTTGTTATCTTTAACTAGATAGTTACCTTGTTGTTATCTAAATAACAATCATTATCTAAATAACTATATGTTTGTTACCTTTAACTAGATCTTTAACTCAATAGGACAGGGAGCATGTCATTTTGTAAATATAAGTATCACTTGCAGTTGCAACTGAAATTCTGTTTTGCTGATACCCAGACTCACCTGCGTGATGCAGGTACATCCCAGCTGCAGCACCGTCCACCACACCCTAAGCCCACTCCATTCACCCATTACTTTTACAGGTTCCTATTCCACTCCCAGTTCTCCATTCTCAATAGCACTCGATTACCTAATGCCTAAATATTCTGTCAGTTCTTTCTCTCAAACACCTACGATTCCATGAACCATCTGGCTAAGCTTTCCTTTAGGCCTGTACTTAGGACTTGACTCATCTTTCTTCAGGTTGTAACTATTCTTTTTACTGGCCTTGTCTCTGAGAAAAGAATATGGTGGCCATGTTACAAATAGAAAAAGCAAATGAATATTTTTTCAGTGCATTTACAAATGAAAATGCATGTATATCTGTTTGAGAGTCATCTTGTCTACTGTAAGTTAGCTAGGTTATAATCCATTTACTCTCCTTTTGTAAAATACATCCATACCCATATATATAAATTTTCGTATGAGCACTGTGTATCTGTGTAATAATATATATGCTTCCATGAATTTGCATGCTAGATCTAACCATGTTGGAATGATTGGGTAATTCTTCCTAGATCGGGGCGGGCAATTATTTTGGGCGGAGGGCCACTTACTGAGTTTTGGCAGGCCATGGAGGGCCGCATGATAGGCAGCCAGGGGCAGATAAATATTAATTTTCTAAATTTTTTTAGGGGCCCCGTGGGCTGGATAGAATGGCCTGGTGGGCCGCATTTTGCCCACCCCGTCTTAGATGCTAAATAATCTATTATAAACTTTTATTTAATGCAAAGTTGCAGAACTTCTTTTCCTGTTTAAAAAACATGAAAGCTTTATTTCTTAATTTCAGAGAAACTTGAGGCTCCTGACATAATTTCAGTTGAAAAAATTGCTGGTATAAAGCAGTTGCTAAACATAACTTGGAAAAACCCTACGATAGTTCCTGAAAGACGTTTATGTTGCCTTATTCAATACAGAAAAATGCATTCAAATGATTCGGTAAGTTACATTGTAATATTGTCCTAATATCAGATTATTTATTCCTGGCTTACATTTTGACTTTTTTTAAATGCTAATAATAAAAGGCAGGATGGAAAACTTTATTTTACTGAAATGAATAACAGAAGATAGAGATGAATGAAGACCTACTCTTACACTGCAATGGACAGGAGAGATGCAGCAGAAATCTGATAAGTGGAGAAGCAAGGCCATTCAGGAGGGTTATCATCACCTCTGAAGTACAGAGATTAGCAAATATCATGTAGATTGTAATGGGCTGTGAAGTCATTGTCTATGTTAAGGGTGACCCCACTCTACTTATTTGTTTAGTCCAGGTCTGTTTTATTGACCAGCATCTTCCTTGTTGTTCTAGAAGGATTTCAGTGGGGTTCCCCCAGCCAGATCAGGTGTCAAATCCATTTGTTTTTGTTTTTTTTTCTTGTCGCTTTTTAGCTATGAACTGCTTTTGTATTTGGGAGCAAGAACTATGTTCAGTCCAGATTTGATTATAACAAAAGGGTATTAATTTTGGGATGAAGAAAAGAAATAGGTTAGCTAGTTTAATACTACATGTCCTAAAGTAAAGAAAATCTGTGTCAAAAAGTCAATAACACTTAAATATTTAGAATTATTAACTATATATTATCCAAGTGGAGATAATGATCAGTTCTTCATCTCCATTGAGATGACCTGTCTTATTCCTACTTGATGTGGAAACAACCTCAGTACAAGCCAGGGCTTCTCCTTCCAAAAGCTGAGAATTTACATTGTGAGCTCTCTGGGTGCATCCACACATGCAGGCATGTACGCTTGCAGCAGTTCAAATAGCAGCACAAATTTGAGCTGGGGATTTTTGCCTCAGTGAACGTGCCCGGACATGCACTTTGGTGTGGGGCAAGTTGTGCCACTTGGGGCAAAATAATCCTGCCCAGTTCCTCCTGGATCTGCAGCCCCAGCAGTATAAAAAGCTGCCCTGGCAAGCAGCTCAGGGCTATGGGCTCTCAGGAGCTTCCGGGGTCCTTTGTCCGTGCACATTTCTAAGCAGAGCACAAGTGGGCAGCATCCACTGGCTCCTTGGATGCCTTTGATGACCAGTGGGTGCAACCTGGGGGGCTCTGCTCAGTGTCCCACTCCAGCAAACTTCTTTTCACATTTTGAACCTATAACCCCCTGTGGGGGAGGAAGGGAGCAGGGGGTCCCTGGAACCCCACCACCCGGAAATAACCCATCCGGGTTACGCCCCACGGCACAAATTGCCCGGGCGGGCACACTCACGCTCCACAGGTGTGACCAGGCAAGAAGCCTCAAGGCAGTTCCGGTCCCTATTAAAGGGACACCGGAGGCAGCTGGGAGGAGGAACCCGGAAGGCGGCGGCGGCGGCGAAGAGGGAGCCGTCAGGAGCACCCGTGCATGGGGAGAGGCAGCCGGCCGGTG